CTGAATACTCATTTCTTATTGGCAACAGCTCCAGATATACAATCAACAACTTTAATCTTTATGAAGAGATGAGAAGTTACTTAGGTAGGGCCCATTGTAATATTACTTTTTATGAAAAAGGACTTTTTTTTTAAAGTAGATATAGACTACTTTATAGATTATATACTGTCTGCAATTATCAGATAGACTTTTGGAAGTTGACCACAAATGGCCTTTCTGAAAAGATTAAATTTTAAAAGAGACCTAATTTTTCCTTGCTATTCATGCAGACACTGAAATAAATCTATGCTTTTGAGGAAAAATGAATCAACATGGCTTCAGCTGATTCTTCAGGTCATTTGAAAAGATTCAAATAAAATTTAAAGCTGCTACCATGAGACTTATGAATCATGTTAGGTTAAATTCTGAGAACTAAGTGCAGGTATTGAACATGTAATTTCCATAGCTGTATCAGTTCAGAAATAGGTTGGCAGAAAATGTCCTTGAACAGTTCTAGAATTAAAGACATTCTCATTTCACAGGTAACTCATAAAATGGAAAGCAAACATATTTTCATAAAAGTGACAATTTTCTTCACTTCAATTCTCCCAAGATTAAAAGTGTTCATGTTTTAGGACTTGCTTTTCCGTGAAAGGGTAGAAAAGGGACATGCAGTTGTACTATTTATTATTAGCATCATCGCAGTGTGTGCAAAATGCTGCACAAACAGAAGAAGAGAGAAACAGAAGAAAAAGACAGACCTTTCTCTTCTAAGTTTTACAGGACTGTGTTGTTCCACAGTATTTTAACTTCATTCAGGAAAAGAAGGTAATTTCCTTGCTTTTATATTTGCCAAGTGTAGAGTAGCAGTATGAAAATGTATGCAAAATTTTAGTGCCTTGAATGAATGGCAGCTGAGAAAGCTGCTGGTACTGTTGGTTCCAGCTGAAAATTCCAAGGCAGTGACTACTGAGGAGGAACACAGTATAGGAAGGCTGAAGGAGAACACAAACTTTGACCTAACCCAGCAGCAAGCCGTAATTTTCTACAATAGTGTTCTTAGGGACACAGTTCTCTCTTCCACACCTCTAATGTTTGCAACTCCTAGGTCTGATGGAGGGCACTCTGCTTTCAGGCTTTCACTTACGCTGTGTAGTACACTCAGCAAATTTGCTGATGTCTCTAAGATGGTGCAGATGACACACAAGAGGAAAGGGATGCCATCCAGAGGAACCTTGGCAGGCTGGAGAAGTAGGCCTCAGTGAACAACCTCATGAAGTTCAACAAAGCGAAATGAGAGATCCTACACCTGGATCGTGGCAATCCCGGACGCACCTACAGGTTGGGCAGAGAGGTGATTGAGAGCAGCCCTGAGGAGAAAGACTTGGGGATAACGGTTAATGAAAAACTCAACATGAGCTGGCAGTGTGCATTCACAGCCCAGAAAGCCAAGCGTCTCCTGAGCTGCATCAAAAGGAGGGTGGCCAGCAGGTCAAAAGAGGTGATTCTTGCCCTCTACTCTGCTCTTGTGAGACCCCACCTGGAGTGCTGTATATGGTTCTGGTGTCCCCAGCATAAGGACATGGAATTGTTGGAGCAAGTCCAGAGAAGGGCCACAAAGTTGCTAAGAGGACTGGCTCACCTCCCATGCAAAAACAGGCTGATGAAGTTGGAGCTGTTACAGCCTGGAGAAGGCTACATGGAGACCTCATAGCAACCTTCCAGTATCTGAAGGGGGCCTATAGGGAAGCTGGAGAGGGACTCTTCATCAGGAATTGTAGTGATAGGACAAGGAATAACAAATTAAAAGAGGGGGAATTTAGGTTAGATACTGTGAAGAAGTTTTGCACTGTAGGGGTGGTTAGACTTTGGAACAGGTTGCCCAGAGAGGTTGTGGATGCCCCAACCCTGGCAGTGTCCAAAGCCAGGCTGAATAAGGCCTTGAGCAACCTGGTCTATTGGGAGATGCCCCTGATCATGGCAGGGTTGGGACTAGATGATCTTTAAGGTCCATTCCAACCTCTTAACATTCTATGATTCTATGATGATACAGGTCTCTTTGTTAAGCGGTCTAAGGGACATTTTGTATTGTTTTTCTCATGAAAATCTCTGTTTCGATCTGATCAGATGAATAATCCAGAAACAAAAGGCTCTGTTGACTGTCTAGTGTGCCTGCACCTTAATGTGACAGAGCTTTCCATGCATTTTCAAGTTTCATTATAGAGAAAGTGAGCTAAGGAGACTAGTACAATGTCAGATTATTTACTAAAAATTTCAAGTGTAAACCAGGAGGACAACCAGATCCAGGCCCTCCTTTCCACCACTCCTAACAATCACATCACTACACCAGTTTAGATCTGGCAAACCTTTCACCAGATGTAAAAATGAATGGCAAGGTTACTTCTGCAGTATAATAATTACAGTATTTATCATGGAAACAGACCATTTAACCATGTTTCATCTTATTATAAATGGTGAACTCAACTCCCTACTCTCTTCTCACAAAGCTTATGTAAACGGCTTCATGCAAAGCAGAACCAGGGCTTCGGACTGTGTTTGTGTCTAGTCAGTACACAAGACTCTCTGGTCTATCCAGGGAAAGCTCCCACGGAAGGGCATGGTAGCTGAGAACCACAAGCACAGCACGCTCCAGAAAACTCAGTGAGCATCCTGGAGATACCACCTCCTTCCCATGACACCATCGCAAGCCAATGATTCTCTTTCCACTTGCCAAGGATATGATTGGGATGCAAACATTATTATCTGTAAACTTATAAAGGTTCTCAGAATAGAAGATGTCATAGAATTTCCACGTCTCACAATAGTGTTAAAGCAGCATCACCACCAGCAGCAGGATTTATCTGAGTAGGAGAAAATGTTCGTAGCAGTGTTCATACACCCAGAGAAGCCAGTGCATTAGGAACTTTGTGAAGCATGTGTATTCCAGCCCCAGGTACTGCTGTACTCAGCCGAATGGTAAGACCTAGCTGGTCTGCAGCACTTGAAGGTGTGTCATGAGAAGCTGAGGACTTCTGTCCATTTGCAAAGGGACTATACACTGGCTGTTAAATGTTCTAGGATGGCTGGTTTTTAGGTACACTATTGTTAAAACATATGGAAATCATAGGAGTCAAAAGCTATTCCTTCCTGACCAGCAGCTTTCTTGAACTAATTAGAGGGTAGGTTGTATTTGTTAGGCAGTAAACATTGTCAGGTTGTTTCTACTTTCTGCCCTAAAAACAGCTTCTAATGGTATTAATTTAGCGCAAAAAATGAACCGCTTTGTGCGCTAGCTGAAATCCTGGAAGAACTAGAATCCTGTTTTCAAAAAAATTGGTATAAAACAAGCTCCTTTAAAGTCTAAAAAATATATATAATTCAGGTAACTAAATCACTAGAACATAGTATTTCTTTAAAAGAAAAAAGCAGAAAATGGTCCCATATATTCTTGGGTCTCCAGTAATAATAATAATATAATAATGGCCAGTCTTCGCGAGCGAAGATTTGGGAAAGGTCATTGACCCTTCGAGCCTGCGCAGGGGATTTTTTAGGTGAGACACAGCGTGCGCTGAACTGAGCCCACCCTTTAATCCTGAGGTTCATCTGCCGGGG